CGCCTTCCTCAGGCAGCCCCGGCTGGCATCGGGTCTCTCCTCCTCACGCCTTCCTTTCGCCGGCGGAACCCCGCGGGTGGTTCACGCATACAGATAATTTTGTTTTATTTTATTTTTTCTTAAATTTGAGCTCCGTTTGATTCTGGCGGCGCGTCTTGGGTTTGTGTTCTCAGGTAGCTCCTGGCAGCATAGCGGGAAAATGCGCCCCGAGACTCGCAGCTGCGAAAAGAATGAAAGGAAAAGATGAGATACAGTGAGTTTAAGCAGCCAGTCAGAATTTCTGTTTTGCTGAAATTTCGTGGAACTTTGAAAATGTCCCTTTTTAAAAAAAAAAAAACAAAAAAAAATGTAAAAGGCAAGGTGCATGAACTCGTCTTTCCTGGAAAGTCAGGAGTACTTTGTCGCCTGAAGTGATTTGAATGTTTCCTGACGCCGGTACCGCTTCAGAGAGCTGTTGTTTCTGTTTCCGCAGAAAGGACCAACGTGCACCGTGGAAGGAAACCTGAAACTGCCCTTTTGACAACAAAGGGCTGGCTTTCTGCCTCTTTCACATGCTTTCCTTTTGCTTCGTAATGGAAGGAGCGGGATTATCCAAATCGTTTGGCAAAATTTGAGCGTTGTTGGCTGAAGATAAGATGAAAGAAGGCTTGAAAATATGTCGATACTCTGTGACTGTTAATGCAGACGCACCGTTCACGGACAGAGGGGGACAGTGGTTAAAAGCACAGCAGCTTCATCAAAAGGAGCTAATGGAGGATCTGTCTTGATTTTTTCTTTTTTTTTCCTTCCCACTCTCCCAGGAGTCCCAAAAGAGAAAGATGGGAAGGATTTGTGTGGAAACTGAGATCAGGGGAAAGCTGAAGACAGTAACTTCCTTTTTGGAGTCTGTTTTCCAAGTGCTGTAAATTCCCTATTTCATCAATATAACACATTGTTTTGAATAAATTCTATCAATTTGTGATCAGTGGAGTTTTTGTCAGCTTTAGAAGTGGAATTTGACCTGATTGAAACCTTTTTAAAAAAAGTAAATGTGTGACTCCGATTCCTTTTTTCAAGTCAAGTTTTTCAGGTTATCAAGAGATAGTGTTTCAGTCTCTTACAGTGTATTGTCAAGCTGTGTTTTATATGCATATCTTCGAGATTTTACGTTTTCCCTAATTTTAGTATTTATGCTGTAGAGTTATGTTTGAGAAAAGAGTGAAAAGACAAGGCACCCGAGATTTGAGTTTTCAACAGCCGTGTTATTTCTGCGTTATAGCTCAGATTACAAGTAATCTGATTATCTGCTAGAAAGCACGCTTAGTCTTTTCTCCTGAAAAATATGCCTTCGGATGTTTGGCTTTGTACTAACTGGATCAAGGTTTTATATCTGAACAGTGTGTTTTGTTAGGAAATGTGTGCCTGGGGAAGAAAAGCTGCCTAATGGATCATGGCTCTGATGTTCATGGGGCATGCTTTATTTCTAACATTAGTGATGTTTGCCGTCTTCACTTTTGAAGAATCTGTAAGCAATTACTCTGATTGGGTGACTTTCATAGGAAATGTAGTTCAGTATGAAAAACAGCAACTTGAAGGTCTTAGTGCTGAGCAGAAGCTGAAAAAAACAGTTCTTCATCCAGGCTTGTATTTCGACGCTGAAGATGTCCAGGCACTGAGGCAGAAGACTCATACAAGCCATTCCCATCTATTTAGAGCCATCAGAAGTGCGGTTATGGTTATGCTGTCCAACCCATTATACTACCTGCCTCCACCCAAGCACATTGATTTTGCTGCAAAGTGGAATGAGATTTATGGTAACAATCTGCCACCTCTAGCATTTTATTGTTTGCTGTGCCCTGAAGATAAAGCTGCATTAGATTTTGCTCTAGAATATATGGATAGAATGGCTGGCTACAAAAACTGGTTGGTTGAGAATGCACCTGGAGATGAAGTACCACTCGGTCACTCCCTAACAGGATTTGCCACTGCTTTTGACTTCTTGTATAATTCGCTGGAAAATGAGAGAAGGCAAAAATACCTGGAGAAGATATGGTCTGTAAGCGAGGAAATGTATGAGTACTCAAAGGTTCGTTCCTGGGGAAAGCAGCTTCTCCATAACCACCAAGCAACCAACATGCTTGCTTTGCTTATTGGGGCTTTAGTTGCAGGGGTGGACAAAGGATCTCAGGCAAATATTTGGAAACACACTGTTGTTGATGTGATGGAGAAAACAATGTTTCTGCTCAATCACATTGTAGATGGGTCTCTGGATGAGGGGGTAGCTTACGGGAGTTACACAGCCAAGTCAGTAACCCAGTATGTTTTTCTGGCCCAGCGCCACTTTGGTATTAATAACTTGGAGAATAACTGGCTAAAAATGCACTTTTGGTTTTACTATGCCACCCTGTTGCCAGGCTTTCAGAGGACTGTGGGCATAGCGGATTCTAATTACAACTGGTTTTATGGTCCTGAGAGCCAACTGGTTTTCTTGGATAAGTTTATCATGAAGAATGGAGCTGGCAACTGGCTGGCACAGCAGATTAGAAAGCACAGACCCAAGGACGGGCCAATGGTGCCGTCCACTTCACAAAGATGGAGCACACTGCACACTGAATTTATATGGTATGCTGCCGAAATCACTCCTCAGCCACCTCCTGACTACGGTACTGCTAAAATGCATGTGTTTCCTAACTGGGGAGTTGTTACTTACGGGGCTGGCTTGCCAAACACTCAGGCAAACACCTTTGTGTCCTTTAAGTCTGGAAAACTCGGTGGACGTGCTGTCTATGACATTGTTCGCTTTCAGCCGTATGCCTGGATTGATGGGTGGAGAAGTTTCAATCCGGGACATGAACATCCTGATCAGAACTCTTTCACTTTTGCTCCCAATGGACAGGTGTTTGTATCTGAGGCTCTTTACGGACCTAAACTCAGCCACCTGAACAACGTCTTGGTCTTTGCTCCATCTCCTACGAGCCAGTGCAACCAGCCTTGGGAGGGACAGCTTGGTGAGTGTGCCCAGTGGCTGAAGTGGATTGGTGATGAGGTTGGAGACTCAGCTGGAGAAATTATAACAGCCTCCCAGGCTGGAGACATGATGTTTGTGAGTGGTGAAGCGGTATCTGCTTACACATCAGCAATGAAATTGAGAAGTGTGTATCGCGTTTTGCTGCTTTTAAATTCTCAGACATTGTTAGTAGTAGATCACATCGAGAAGGAGGAAGACTCTCCTGTTAATTCTGTCAGTGCCTTTTTTCATAATCTTGACATTGATTTTAAATACACACCCTATAAGTTTAGGAACAAATACAATGGAGCTATGATGGATGTGTGGGATGCCCACTACAAGATGTTTTGGTTTGATCATCATGGGAGTAGTCCTGTTGCTAGGATACAGGAGGCAGAACAAGCTGCTGAATTCAAAAAGCGATGGACTCAGTTTGTAAATGTTACCTTTCCAATGAAAGACATGCTTACAAGGATTGTTTACCTTTTCTATGGCCCGTATGTCAATGTTTCTAACTGCAGGCTCATAGATAATGCAAAAACTGGATTTCAGATTTCGCTCAGCGTTAACAACACTGAAAATACCATCTCTGTTGTGACTGAGTATCAGAATTTAAAGACAAGGTTTGATTACTTGGGATTTGGTGGTTTTGCCAAAGTAGTTCATGAAAACAAAGTGACCAAGTTTGGTCTAGGTACTGAATCTGTGGAAAAACGGATAAAAAATGATAGGGTGGTTTTCCCTTTTGGATTCAAGGTGAACATAATTGCAGGGTTAATTCTGGGTGTTAGTTTGGTCATACTGGCTTTTCAGTGGCGGTTTTACATATCCTTCAGTAAAATGTTGCGTTGGATCCTGATACTGGTTGTCACACTGTGGCTTATTGAATTAGTGGATATGTGGAGCATGTGTACTCAGCCCATCTGTGCAAAATGGAGCAGTGACATGACAAGGCTAGAACGTGATAAAGGCAATAAAGCCAAAAAATTAGAAGGAAACCCTGTTGTTTTGCCAGATGTTGTCATTACTTCTCTTCCTGCTTCTGGTGCAGAAATTCTGAAACAGCTGTTTTTTAATAGCAGTGACTTCTTATACATTAGGATACCTACACCCTATCTTGAAATTCCAGAGACTGAATTTGAAATTGATTCCTTTGTAGATCCATGTGAATGGAAGGTTTCTGATGTCCAGAATGGTCATTTTCGTCTTGTCCAAGGGTGGCTTCAGTCTCTAGTTCGAGACACAAAGTTACATTTACAAAACATTCATTTATATGAAGCCAGCAGAAGTAAAACTGCTCAGCATTCTGCCATAAGCAAGGACAAAAAGAAGAGATCCAAAAAGAGAGAAGCTCTGTCAGAGCAAAGAAGCAGGGCAAGAGGGAGTCAAGATAAAGATGCTGAACATATTAGGCAACTGAGAAGACATCTCGCTTATTATCCTAATGCGCGACCTGTGCTTAGTTTAAGTAGTGGGAGCTGGACATTAAAGCTTCCCTTCTTTCAGGAAATCCTAGGACCGTCAATGAGAGCATTATATGTAGTAAGGGACCCACGGGCGTGGATCTATTCAATGTTGTACAAAAATAAGCCAAGCATTTACTCCTTGAAAAATGTTCCAAAACGCTTGGCTGCAATGTTTAAAGGGGAGAATGGTAAAGGAAAATGTAGTTTAAATGAAGGCTATGCATTTGAATATGAATCATTAAGAAAAGAACTTTCAAATTCTAATCCGAATGCTGTTTCTGTGTTGTCCCATTTATGGCTAACAAACACAGCAGCAGCACTAAGAATAAATGGGGACTTGCAGCCAACAAATTATCAGCTGGTTAAGTTTGAAGATATCGTGAGCTTTCCTCGGAAGACGGCTGAAACAATTTTTGCCTTTCTTGGTATTCCTCTTCCTCCCGCTAGTTTAAACCAAATATTATTTGCCACCTCCACCAGTCTTTTCTATCTTCCTTACGAAGGGGAAATTTCACCAAGTAGCATTCATGCCTGGAAACAAAACATGCCCAATGAAGAGATTAGACAGATTGAAGATATCTGTTGTTCTCTAATGGACCACTTAGGATACCCAAAGTTCATAGAGTAAATGCTGCCGGTCAGCAGAAATTTGCACTAATGATCTCTGACTCCCAATTTGTGGATAAGTATTAGAGAGGTTTGTTTATTCTTGTAAAATGTGTATAGACTGCTACTTTCAGAGAGATTATTTTAAGAAAAATATAGTTGTTCTTGCAAGTGCAGGGTTTTTTGTTCTGTTTTGGTTTGTTTTGTTTTCAGAAAAAACCTTTCAACTACTTTTGCTGCCTTTCAAAAAGAGCTGTGTGAACCTTTGTAAAACTGCCAGCTGGGGACTCTATAGCTCAGGGGATTAGTAGTAGAATATGGAGCTTTTCACCTCCAGTTCACCAGTTTGACTCTAGCCCAAGTGGTTAGTTCCTGAAAGTACTTACCATCTGATAATGTGTGATGACTTATATTAAATTAAACTGGTTAAACTGGCCCAGTTCCCAATGATGTGATGATTAGCCCACTTGGACAGGTTTACTGATGCATTCTGTCTGTGTCTCACTGGTCACTATAGTGGTACAAACTAAACATAAGATGATGTTTAAGACTGTTCAGCTTCCCTTCAGCAGGAGGAAACAGTCAGAACATTTGAGTGAATCTAGTTCCTTATTTGCAGTCTGAGCAGACAGGTGCGGGACTGGAATGGACATGGATCTTGAATATCGTTGTAGGATATGGTTCCTTCAGCTCAGAGGTGTGGCACTTAAATGGGGGTTTGTGCTCTGACGAAAGAGAAGACTTCATTCTCCGTGCCTGATAATGTGATACCCTTTGTGAGCCTGAAGTAAACTATCTGGAGAAAAAGAAATCGGACAAAATCTAAGAAACCAACAAGATCTCCCAAACGAGCAGTTAAATTTGGAGAAGACTTTGTGTAGTTTTGACCTGCCTCAACCTAACTTAATTTTGAAGGTTGTTGACATCTTGGCTCCTTGCACTGGTTTATCCTGTACCTCTTGTTGAAGAGGTTCTGCAAGGATTTTCTCCTTTTGAGTGAGACTCTTCCATCCTTCTTTGTTGTAACACATTTCTCTGCTGATTCTCGTGCATAGTTTCACTGAGACCAGTGCAAATATTTAATGTCATTGTCAGTGGCTTATTGTTGATGTCTGCATAAAATGGCAATCTGAGATTTAGAAGATCTTAAATAAATCTCCAGATCTGTGTTGCTGAGGAATGTGTTGCTTTCCTGTGTAATGAATTTCTGAAGGACAACCATTACTAACCTTGGGACTTCTTTCAGAGAGGGGAGAAATCTGAAAATCACCCATCCATCAGCCACCTCACATTTGAGTGATGTTTCCCTGCAGTAAATTGTTTCCAAAGTTATCTGATTTTTGTGGTGATGGGTGTTTCTTTAACAAGGTGCTGTAATATGATACTGGTTTGGAAACAGATAGTCTTGATAGGATAGATGTGTCTTTATCACAGCTAATTTTCTTCTTGAGTCAAACTCTTTCTTTGCGCATGCCCATCAAGAACATATTTTCCTGTTTCCTAATTTAACTTGCTCTGCATTCTTTGGAAATGCATGCATATTGTAAATGTCTGCAGATGTGTAAATCAGATCACAAAGAGACATCTGTTTCCTTTACCATCTGTTTTTTGTTACAAATGGAATTGTCTTGAAATATGCTTCAGTTGGTTTGTGGAAGCTAGGATCAGTTTTTTGGCTTATTATATTGAAATATGCATGTAATTAGTGTTTATTTGGGTGGTAAGCGTTAGACAATGTCAAAAGTGCAGTGAGTTTTTTCGTGCAGATTACAGGTACTCTTTCTGATTTTTAATACAAGGGAGTTCTTGCCTTTCCTTCCAATCTTGCTTTGATGCCCCTGTCTTACACCGCTGTCTTGTCCCTCCCATATGTACATTTTACATCCTTTGGAGCAAATTGCGGTATCTCATTATGACCTAGATAAAAGTAGCTCTTTCTCAGCCAGTCATTAATATGTCAAAATTGGCCTCTAGCTTGATAAAACTATTGAAATTTTGCAGTTTCACTAACCATAACTTGGCTGTCATTTACTAGGAGCAGTTGTTTTTTCCCCTTTCAGTCCTAAGTCTCACCCCTGACTAGGTAGAATGCTGTGTTAAAGGAAATACTAAACAAGTTGATATACACTGACATGTTTGTGAAACTTTGGTTTCCAAGTATCAGTCTTTCAAATTGGCTTCTCTCTGAAGCCATTTTTGATCGTGTGCTAAAAAAAAAAAACAAGTATTGATGTCTGTACAGTCTGTACTTGACAGAGTAAGTTTCAGCATTTGCCTTCTATTTCCAGGATTTAGACTCTAGAATCAGAACAAATAAAAAGGCTTTTGTCTGTCAGATGTTTTAGGACAGCTGAAGGTAAGAATTAAGACTGACTGTGTATTTGTGGAAGCAGAAAGAGACCTTTAAATCCCTTCCTGAAAGTACCATATGGAATGCCACAATAGCCTATAAACCAACTTTTGGGCTTTTTTTTGAGGAGTTAGAGTGGACAGAATCACCTGTTGGAAGCATCATCTGTGCTGCGTTTGGAATACAGGGTATCCCACGCACTTACGTTCAAAATAGCATCATTGCTGTCATTAATGATATGCAAGATTTAGGAGCTATTTCTTTTCTGTAGTGTACTTTCATGGTTCAAAGAATGCATATATTCAGATTTCATTGGACTGTGTGTTCCTTGTGCAGATGTAAAAAGGTAAAAGAGAACTCTGTTCTTTATTTTTAGATCTTGTTGTGAGGGCAAATGTATTGAAATCATTATGCTAAAAATATGTAAAAGGAAAAGCTGTGTCTTTGAAAACAGCAGGGTAGGAATGCTAAGGTATGGCAAGTCTCCAATTTTCAATCAAGTAATTGTTTTGTTGAGTTTTAGATGATAAATTACATGACCACTTGACCAAGGTTAGTACCAGACAGGAGGTATCCCAGCTGTGGAGCTGAATGACTTTGTGTTGAGATTGTGGCCTTCTGCCTGCATGAATAGCAACACAAGACACAGCAGAAAGCTGAATAAACTTGCAAATGGTTGACGAGAATGCCCACTAAAGGATGCAGATCTGGGACTTTGTGGAATAAATTTCGGTGGCACCACACATAAAATGACAGTTGTGGTGGTGATAAAAAAAAAATAAACGTTGTCTATTAAAAGATCAATTCTAATATTATGTCTGTGCTGATGTGCAGTGAAATCGGTCATTAAATCTTTTTTTTTGTTATGCAAATATTCCCATTGAGACGAGTGTTATTCCATATATGAAGAATATGAGTGCAATTTTGTAATATGAAATGATTTTGTGGGTGTGCAGAGTTATCCTCAGAATTCCCTTCTGTTGCTAGCATCCAGAGGAAATGTCGTCACTACATAGACACAGACGTTAACAACCCCTTTCTCCATATAGTAATGTTTAAGACTGTCAGTAAAATTTGAGAGCTGGTAGACCTTTTTGAAAAGCATGTCTGTTAAGGTACGTTGTATTGAAGAATGTACGGGCAGTTTCAGTTACACTTTCATAAAGATGCTGATGAAAATTAGTGTCAGTACTTTATGTTAACTTTCTTCCTTCTTGTCCCTATGTTAAATGTTGATAATTATTTGTACTATATTGTAGTTTGAACTGTCCAATTATGAGACAGCTAAGATTTTGACCTATTTTAAAAAGGCAGCCTTTATTTAAATGGTTACATCTCTGAATCATATTTGGCAGCCTAAGGAAAATAAATGCTGAGGAAAACATTTCAGTTATTTACTTACTTTGTAATTATGTGACATTCGCCCTGGGGAGATGCGCAGGGGTCGTGGCATTCAGAGTTCTGTTAAATCACATGAATCTGTAGTCTCTGAGCATACCTAAATACTTCTATTACTTCTAGTAAGCTTTTTTCAAGAGCGACATGTGTGGAGGTGAGCCTTGGTATCATGGTCAGATTGGTTCCTTTCATCCTCTTAGCACGCAGTTGGCATGCAGTCCTCACTGAATTTATGTTCTAAGTTAATTTGCCAGATCCAGAGTGGAATTTCTGTACAAGATCCTCAATTGTATGTAAATATATGACACAATTAATTTGACAGTGTTCTACTATTTAGATAGTGTTAGAATGCAAATCAAAAAATGCACTTCAGGTTTGTTAAGTTATTGGTAACGGATTTGTAAAGCTGCAGTCATGAATCAGATTTTTTTTTTAACCATAAAAACAGTTTCACTAGCTGTTGAAACTTAATGATATGACTGCTAAGGGAGTCCTGGTTCCACCTGACAGTCAATTATTTCTATTATTAGTCTTAGAGACACTATTTATTTGATTAAGATACATTATCTGGAATATAATACTGTGTTTGCTGAAAACATTTGAAGTGCACCATTCAAGATTAAGAGTACAAGTATGTTACTTCAATATTTCTGTAAGTTACAAAAATTAGCCCCTTTGTGAGTGGCCCATGTCTTGGGTTTCATATGTTGGAATATTTTATAATTAGAAACTGATGTTTATTTAGATGACAGAAGTAATTTATCAAAATGATTTCTTTTTAATTAAACATAAAATTATTTTCTTCAAGAGGATGAGTGCTGGATCTCAATATTTCTATCATCAGGGCATCATAAGCTTTCCTTCCTTTTTGTGGATTCCCTTTTAGCTTTGATTCAGACTAAAACCTTTGTTTAAATCTCATTGTAAGAAATATGTTTTCTGATCAAGGAGTCTGTAGACTCGTGTGGTCTCAAGTTCCACTTCATTGCATTTCAGTGTGGAATATCATGGACTATTCATCATGGATCAAATCCCTAAATTGTGAGCTGTTCATAATTGGGCCATATGTGAAGTGATGCCATGCTAACCTCAATGAATGTTGTGCCATTGACTTCAACAGGGCCAAAATACTATCTTCTACTATCATCAAAATATTATCATCTACTTAGCCTGAATATGCCAAAACAACAGAAATTACAGGAAGTAAATACCTCAAATGATTATGAAATATTACTGTTCTTTTTATCTGATGGAGAAAGGAAATGCATTTTAGT